CCCCAAAACCCCAAAACCCCAAAACCCCATAATACTTATTTTGATATTCAAAAAAGAAAAAGAAAATAATAATCTCAAATCTAATATAAATAAAAAAATCATTAATTATCATCATTAGAGTTCATTGATTTCATAGATTATTTGAGGTGTGAAGGCATAGGCTTAAATTTGAAAAATAATGTTGAAATATTGCACAATATTCCTAAAATCCCAATGATTATTGTATAAATCAAATATTGCTCTCTTCCTTTGATAAATCCCTAGATGAAATTAAAAATTAAAGCACCCATTGCTAAGCCAATATTGCAAACAGCAATTGATTAGGAATTATTACTGAATTCAAATGCTAAAATTTCTATTGATAAGATACTTGTTGAGCTATCTTATAAGCCCCAGACGAAAGTCAAGAAGTAGGCAAGCAAAGAAAATTTATAGTCTATCATATAGACTAGCATTAGAGTACTTTAAATAGATACCAAAAGAATATTGAACAAAACAGTCTTTTTATTTCCATATTAATCTATCATAAAACCAGAAACTAGACTACCGATTATCTCACCTACTCCAAATGATACCATTGCTAGCATTGACTATGAAAATTTATATTTGTAATCTCCAGCAGATTCTGATTCGATAATTATAATTACTAATATCCCAGAATAAATATCAACACTTATTCCATTCCATAATAGCTATGGTATCAATGGTATCATCTTTTTAGCCTTAATGAGCAGTAATATCTCTAATACTTCTTTTCCTAATAAAATTGGAGCAACACTTTAATCATTTCACTGCTTTGTTATTTCAATTTTTCAGCCACTACACTCTGAAAATCTTAGTCAGAATCTTCTGGTAAATATCTTTTATAATTGATTGGTTTGGTTAGTGTAGCAAACACTGCTATAGATAAGCTTGCTATAGCAGCCATTATCAATAGGAATGTAGTCTATTTTAGATTTGCTGAAATGAATGCTGCAATCAAACTACCTAGAACCATTGACATCATTAATATTCCTCAGAATAAGCCATAATAAAAGCCTTTAGTTTCTTCTGAAGCACATTCTGAAATATATTTACCTCCTGCTACCCATTTAAGACCTAAACAGATCCCTTAAATAATTTGAATTAATATCTATGTTGTATATATAAAACCAACATTTGTGATAAGCATATCATTACTTGTATTATTTTAAGAAGAATATGCTGGTGGTATAATAGATAGTATCCAAATAGTGTCAGCAATAGCTGCAATTGATAGACATAATTTTATACCCAAAGTATCTACAAAATATGATGCTACTAAACATCCAACTCCATAGCATAGATAATCCAAAGCCAAGCACAAAAAGCCTAATTTGCCATAATTACTGCTAGACAAGATTTCTGTATAAGCATTATATGTGGGATTCAAAGCTGTAAAAAGAATTAGGAATCCAACTGAGCAGTAAACTGCCTTCCCAAAATTAGCGTATTTATTTTGCTGTTAATTTTGAATGTATTTCAGTTTTAAGAATTGAATTATTTAAAAATTTTCAGAGAAATAATAATTCTA